ATATATCATTGACACAGGAGCTAATGTTACCATCATTAGGAAAGATTTAGCTCAACAGTTTTAAAGTTAAACTTATTTGGACGCATCCTGTGTTACCCTTCAGACTGCGTCTGGTGGCAAGATCGAGATAGCTGGGAAGTTAAACGTGAACATCACGTTTTGGAAGTGCGCCTACCATCACACGGCAAATGTGGCGGATATTACAGATCCATGCATACTCGGATTGGACTTTTTAAGGAAATACAGTTTTTCCTTAGACTTCAAAAAACAACAAACTGCTTTCAGCATCTGGTGACACGATTATCCATCCTCAGAAGAGATCCTCATCTGGAAATGCCGACGCCTTGTCCGAAAGACCCAGCTCGGGGAGCCGCCGAAATCATGCTAGGGTCGAACAGAAACGCAAGACTACCAGCTATTCTCCATCCCAGAAGCTCTTCGGTCGAGACCTTCGTCTGCCTTGTGACCGCGTATTTGGTCGCCCTACGGATGCGCCTTCATCGCCTGAGGAACACATCCAAGATGTCCAGGCCCGGTTTGAGGGGATGCACCGTTCTGCACGAAAGCGAATCAACTTGGCGACGGAGAAAGTGAAGACCAGATACGACACGAGAGCTACTAGACATAGATCCAACAAAATAGACAAGATATGGTTGTGGAACCCGATTCAACGAAAAGGAATGAGTCCTAAATTACAGTCACCTTCGAATGATTCGTATACAGTGCTGAACAGACTGAATGACGTCATGATTCGAATTCGTAAGTCTTCGAACTCTAAACGTAAAGTCGTTCATTACGACAGGTTAGCTCATTGCTATGGCCATAGTACGTAATGTAAATAATTGTAAATAGTATAAGACCATGGTCCATTTTGTTTTTGAATGTGTATTTGATTTGATTTGTATTTAGTATTCGATTTGCATTTAGTATTTGATAGCATTTGATTTGTTTTATTTATTGCATTATTGTTCATGTTGTTTATATTGTAATGTAATGGCTTATTAATGCATTTATTCCTTATCTTTATTAAGTTGTAAGTTTAGCTTCCTGTCCAGGGATTGTACTGCCCGGACGTGCAGTCCTTGGGAAGGGGGCAGTGTTACGATTTGGTATTTAAAAAGCTAATGTTAGTTCAATTATAAATTAAATGGTTTTATTTCTCGCGCAGTGCAGCGCATGACGAATATTAAAAGAAAGCTAAGCAGGAAAATTGAAAATACAAGAGCGCGTGCATTAAATAAATAAATATCTCTTTTTGATTTCGAGAAAGTACTGGAAAATTCTAGCGCGTGATTTTAAAATCTTATAAAAGGAGGAAAACATCTCAGTTTGTAGTAGTTGCTTAGTTTGTTGTTGTTTAGAAAACTGCTCTTGTTGATTGTAACGAATTCGCGGATTAGCGTTCTTTAGCTGTTTTGAATTACGTTCTACTGGACATTTGAGTAGTTAAAAGATAACTACTGTGAGATATTGTAATACTGCATGATAATTTGAGAAAATTTAAGCATTTTTGTTGTGATAATAATAAATTTTTGTTCATTTTTCATCGGACTTGTGCATTCATTTCGTAACGAATCCGTACGCACGCAACAATATGTTAACCGCATCTGCAGGTAACCGATATGCATCTTCAACCATTCCTGCTTCGAAATATAGGTCGTCGACATAGAAGAGTTTAACATTTCGAAACTGTTCGGCATTTATCTTATATTTCTGAATATGATATTTTATAGTGGCGGCCAAAATGAAAGGTAATATAGTCAAACCGAAAGCTACGCGACACACTTGCATAATTTTAAAAGAGTCATTATTTTCAGTAAACCAAAGAAATTTTAGAAATGTCTATCACTTTTAGCAATTTCTATCATCAAAGGGGCCTTTTCAAACGTCTCCACATAACGCTATCTTAAAAGCTATGAAAATTAAATATAATGCCTAGTACATTGGGATTTAGATTTAGGTCCCGATTCAAGGCAGTCATTTAACGAATTCGTGTTCCCTGTCCTTGAGCTAGCATCATTTAAAATTCTTACATTAGTGGTTTCACTAGATTGTATCACTGCTCGGTGCGGCATAAAATTTCCCATTATTCGGACATTCCTCAACAATTTTTTTCTAATATCCGATTTTCAATTATTTTTTTTTTTTGTATTCCTAAAAAATCTCCGGAGTTTTACTTAATTTATTCTAAAGATTCGCGAATCGTTTCTTTGCTACCTGAAAATTATTCCCCAGATTATTCCGACTGTATTTCCAGAATAAATTTGCATCATATTTACCATTTTTTAAACTGTAGATTTCTTTCAAAGCGGTCTATTATTTCGCAGTCAATGTCGGAATAATCCTCAGAATCATTAATTCCCCATGTACTCCAAATTCCCCCAAACCTCTTAAGCCTTCAACACAACAGTGTTTGTCATTACCGCTAAATTTTCAGAACAATTTTTATTCGTTTTATTTTTCTCACTTCCTGCAGCCACTCAACGAAACACAGAGAACTGACTGCGTACACTCCTTCAGACATTTTAATTCTTTCGGAATAAACTACATTCGAGAATTCATCCCCGTCAAATAATAGCTCAACATTTGTGTTATTTTTTCCAGAACAATCGGTGATCTGCAACCCCAAATGCTCCATGAAGTCTGGAATTCGCTTACTAGGTATATTGATGGGCGTCGAGGAAATAACATCCCAGATCAAACATTAAATTTTTATTTTATTATTTTGTTTCCAATTTTGAATTGCGATTTCAACGACCGGACAGGCCTTGGTCGCAGAAAATGAATAAATGGAAAGCCATCATAACCGAATGGAATAAGTTTTAAATAGTTAGCCAATTTATTCGTTATAAAGGATCTGTGACTGCCTCTCTGAAGAATTAATGTAGTTAATTTTGATTTATATTTAGAACAAACATAAACTGTACAAGTTTGTAATAATATTTTCCTGGTCTTGCAGTTGTTATTATTATGACATTAAGAAACAGAAGCAATCAATTTCAAGTTTTGAACTCTGTTTTTTCCCCCAGAATTAAAAGTCAAAGATTCAGTTTCATTTTCGGAATAACTTTGTTCTGACTTTTTATTTACAGAGGATTTATTTGTACAAATCAATTCATTCTGATACATGGCGCTACATTTATTACACTTAGTTTTATTTCTACACTTTTTTGATGTACTAAATTTTAAAAGCAAGAATAACAGCGGTTTTCCGATCTTAGTTTCTTTAATTTATCAGAAACATTCATTTCGCATTTAAATGACTGGCGAAAATTATACCAGAAGATGCATTTTCGGTTAACTTCAATGTAGAATATTTTAACTTCTATATTTAAGAAATTTTTATATATAAGTCCGCGTTTATAGTAAATAGTCAGTCACACATACAAATTCCAAAACTTAGGCATGCTGAAAACAGTGTTGTCATTTCATAAATGTACAAAGAAAATACCATTAAAAACTCCACTTGAAATACGAAGGCAAACTAAAAGTTAATTTTGACACTATATATCTTTTTCTTGTTGTTGACAAATCAGAAACTGTAACCAACTTTTAATACAAGAGTTAAATAGTCAATTATATGATTTATTAAAAATGCCTTTCTCATTACATTTCTGAATTTTTCCTATTTTAACTAAAGATTTGGGGACGTAATCTGCGACTACCTCCCCAAATCTCTAATTTTCTACTTAGAATACTGGTATATATTGAGTGTCTTACTGATGCAGTTAACATTTCTTGAAAAGTTAATGCCATTTTGCTCTGCGATTAGTGGGATCATCTCCAAGACAGCTTGGACAACATGGGATAATTCTTCGGATAACTGTCTAGTTTCTTAGACTGTTTTTATAAATGATGGTTTATTGATTTTTCTTACAGAGAAAGGTTAAGAGGGTTGCGTTTGGGGAGGAATATGTAAGGTGAACTGACCACATTCATATATCGTCTAGCTGCGTGGATAAAACTCTTTGCAATTAACCTGTTAGCTCGAACGTCTCTCTGCAGCTAGCCAGTAATCAAACTCATGGTCGTATCCATCCAGCCACTTCTGTGACCATTTTTGTAAATGAGAAGTGATAGAATGTTGTGCAAAAAAGAAAGTCTCAACATTCCTAATTACACTCTCCTGCCTGAAGCACTGAATAACATACTGGCAATGCTGTTTGCTACTGCTGTGACTAATACTTCCCCCAATTCTACAAATTATCCCAAAATGCTTGCATTATTTGAGAAAGTATCTCTATGGACCTGTTTATAGGGCATATTCCACCGTTTGACATAGGTTGGCAATGGATCATCCAGTTCTAGTGAATACGCATCAGCATGGTGCACATATGATGCTTAAAACCCAGGGCTAGACGCAAGGTGTGTCAATCCCTTGGCGTCAAAATTGTGAAGCCACATATACTGTATACTGAAGCAAAAAGGCAGCAACAGGCCTCACCGTTATACCTTAGAGAGTTCTTTGAAACTCTTGCTGCAAAAGAAGGGCTAAAATTCCCATATGACCATGCTTATAAATGAGTCAAAGTTGATTTACTTATGGTTAGAAGTGAACAAGAACAGTCAGAAAGAAGTCAACAAAAGAAATAAAATCTCCACTTCTTTACCTCGGGTTGTTGGAGTTGCTTGCTTTCATTAGATACCTATTCATGATTATATTTACAGCAACATTTACATAGGACTGGAGTCAAGGATTCAGCATGGTTTTTAGTAGCCACATTTTAATTTAAAAAATGAGCACCCGTTTAATTACATATATACACAACTGCATAACCTTAAAAGAAAAATGAGACTTGACTACAATTTAAAATATGAGAAATTCAGTACTTATTAATAGAAAATCAGCATTACTAAACCATAGAAAACATTTCGTTTTTAATTTTAAATAACAGTTCAATTTATAGAACTAGTTTACAATAAACGGGGCAAAAATCCTATGGAAAACTAAACTATATTACAGGGTTTAATAATGAAATTTCAGATTAAAATAAGGAAAATAAAAAATAATGAACCATATTTATTATATTCATACAAAGTACTTTACAACATAAAAAAAAAGAAACAAGAAAAAATGATTTACTTATTAATGAATATTATTTTCTTTTAACTCTTTTCATTCATGTTTGAATCCAGTTCTCTTAACAGAGTTTGGGTTTCACAAATAGATTTTAATCTTTCATTAGATTTATTTTTATTATTATTTATCTTTTGTAACTCCAGCCTTTTCGGCAAGTTCATTTGCTTTTTTCCAAGCACTTCTTTCTAAGCGAGTTTTCTTTCCTTTAAGAGAAAGCAAGTCATCTGTTGATTCTGCTTTTCTTTTTCTTATCTTGAAATGTTTTCCTTGCTCTTCCATATATGACTGATACTGTGAATGAGCTGATGAAGCTGCTGCTCTTTCGTAACTGATACATTTTGTATCCCACCAGCATTTTTCACAGAATACTATTCGCTGGGCAATGTTTGAATTTTCCCCCAGATTGTCTGTTTCTATATTTTATTGATACTAAATACTCATTCAACAGAGAAAGAGTAAAGATCATTCTAAATGTTTTCTATAACTTAAAAAAATTTTTCATGTATGAATGTGTGCCAAAAAGTGTCTAATCTCATTTTTTTCACATTATAGGTTTTTAATTCTGTAAGGTATAGCTGGACAACATTTTTGACGAAATTGGAAAATTCCAAAAAGATGCTACCGCATTCTTCTGCAATGTGACCTTTCGGGGAAAAATGCATCAATATACTTTTCAGTTTCTCGTACGCATTTGTACTGTTTTGCTGGCTATATACTTTGGATTAATAGAAACCACATTTCGAATTAGTGAATAATTAACTGGACATTTCTCCATCAGCTTTACAAGTAGCTGCAAAATGAAAGTTTGTGAGTAACGTTTAAGAGGAATTTAATCTTTCTTTTAATTAAAATCCCATGATTTCTTTCCTAGTGTATAATTCTTGCAAGAACTTATCAGTCCTAAATCTTAAACTAATTTTGCTTATCTCATTAATGATGCCTTTCTGAAACTCACACAAAGGATGAACTGATTTTTAACACGTACTCTTCTTTTACAATTTTGAAATGATGCAAAAGTTGCTTTACTAATTTGTGTAAATCAAAAGCAATAAAAGGAACAAGCGGTCCATCACTTTAGTACAGTTCCAAAAACGGCTGACCAATTCAGCCACACAAATGAAAAAAAGGAATTTTACAGGCATTAATTTGTCTTTAATTGTATCTCTTATTTCACATAATTTATTTTTGCATATTTTCCATTCTCAATTAGTTTGACATAACGTTTTATATCTTCCCAAATTTCAAAAACACGCGAACATCTTGGCACATTCACTAAACCTATAGTTACAAAATTTTACACTTATGCACACTCGATGTTAAAAAATTCCAACGTGCTGGAGAATCTTTGAGTAGATGGTACAGTGCTTCTAAAGCTTCTAAAATAGAAGGTATATCCCAGCTTGTAGTGGATGCTTCTTTATGGAAAGCATTGTTCAAAATATGCAAGCCACAACTACTAACAGATATATATTCAATGCCATATTCCTTTTTCAATTCATATTGGAATGGTTTCATAAGACTTTCAATTTATGGCTGGCCCATACACACTTATCTGTAGCAGTTTTCTATATATCTAGCTTTTAAATGCCCTTTGAAAACTTTGGAAAATATTAGCAACAGTTACATGTTCCATGAAAATAGAGGTCAAAAATTGAGTTACAACTTAATTTTGATGAGACTGCCAATATATGATATGCAAATCTAATTGCTTTTTTTATTTATTCTATTCAAAGTCTCGTCAAGTAACAAGGTATAGTGGGATAGCTTCTTAATCCGTCATACACGAGATTCTGAAAATAAGGTGCTAATCCAAAATGGCAGAGATTAGCAAGCTTTTTCATACTACAAGAAAAGCGTCTTGCTATAACATTGTCAGGGAATATACTTGAGAAGAGTTTGCCCACGACATTGCTAGATCTATAAGAGTCACCACTTTTAAACGGCACAAAGTTACAGCATCCAAAACATCTTTTAACCTCCTAACAGCGTCATCTAAAGTATCTGAATTTTCCGAAGCACAAGTAAGACTTGGGGGAACTGGAAGGTGCAACACTAACAGGATTTGATTTTGGGAAAAAGCTTGTTATTCCACCAATAGCTGCATTTTTCCATTTCAGAAATTTTTTATGCTTGGCACCTGGAAATAAATATAATTTGTTGTATATTTATTTAATTCTCCTCTCATATTATTATTTAAATACTTTAACTTAAATTAAAATTCTGAACATTTTCAAAATTTTTATCATATGATAGTTTTCCCTTAACAGATATTGCAAAGTAATTTAATTAAAAAAAATCTGATGTGTACACCACATAACTTCCTTGTACGGAATATTAAATTATAAGCAAATTCCCCCCGTGAATTTCATTTATACTTACTGAATTCTACTTTGATAGCGCATACACCACAATGGAATAAATGCACTCATTAAAATTCACTATATTTATTTACCATAGCGAATTAACAGCGTTATATTTCATTCATTTTATAACTCAGAATGCACAAAAATTATATCACCTGAAGAATTACCACAAGTTCTATTCAAATAAATCTAAAACGATATATAAAAGAAATTAAACAAACAAGAAGGAAACAGTTTTTCGCAGACAATTCAGCGCCGCTTACCTAATGCGCATGCGCTACTTATTTATTCAGTTCTCACTTCGCGGCAAGGCAAAAATACATACAAATTTCAAATATTTTCATTAAACTTTGAAAGATATAGAAAAACATAAAACACCAAGTACAGCTAAAACAATTTTTACAATTAAAATTACAGTTTCTAAACAAAAACAATAACTTAAATGATAATTCCAGAATGAATTAAGCATAATTTAATTCGCAAAAATAAAAGAAGACGTTACTTTGTTGCGAAGCTTAGTTTCTATAGATTGCCAACAAATCCAATATTCTGCTGTTTCAAATGTAAACAAACATGGCCGCTATGGCAATCAAAAATTAGGCTTAGCCGCACTTAAACTTTTCTATTGTCGATAATTCCACAATTATTGCATGTAGGTTAACTAAAGGTATAAACCTACATGCAATAATTGCGCAGCAGAGTAACAGAGTGGATATACATATATTTATATACTTTTTTTAGTGCGGCCGATTGTAACCAAAATGCGAAGTGCAGATCTACAAGTTATAGTAGTCCTACATACAAAATTTCAACTTTCTGATGCTACTCATTTTTGAGTTATGCAAGATACGTTCGTACAGACGCCATGAAAGAAAAAATCTCTTCAGAATTCATTTTAAGTTAAAAAGAGTCCTTTATTCTGTTCTTAGGTACAAATGTCCCACAAAAACATCCTTAAATTGCGTTTGATAGCGGTCAAATGGATGTTTTCGTTGAAATATGACACCCAAAATTTTTCGCGATTACAATACTTTTTTACTTCGTACAAGGAAGTAAAAAGAGATATAGGATACCAATGCTTACAACTTAATCGCACAAATTGTGCGTTTAAGTTGTAAGCAGGTTGTACGAAAGCGACGGAGAAATAGATAGGAATAAATGAATTAAGCTTACTTAAAATCTTTTCAAAAATACATAATTTTAAATATTTAAATGTATAATATTAGATTAATTTGCATTGCAATCTAACTGCAAACTAATTTTTTTTCATGCTCATATTCAAATGTTTTTACGCAATTTATTTTACAGTTAATATTAGAAAACGGTACTTTTCCGTCTCGCCGGCGCAAATCTCGCCAAGCAGACTTTGTTGGCGACAACATACAGTATACACAAAAAATATTAATTCTAAGAATTTTTTTTTATTTTGAAGGCATAAACATTTTAATATGGTTTAAAATTTTGTAAAAAGCCAATAAATTTGTAAAGAGACATTAATTTAAGAATTTACTGATTTCATGGTTCAAAATCCTGATTCGTCGGTTCGTATCACGTGACCCCAAGTGATCTCATCTCACGTAAACTACGTTACTAAAATCTAATTCTCTCAGTAATTATCTACATTAATTTCAAGTTAAATCTTAATTTGGAATACAAGTTTAAATGCAAGAATTATTTCAATTCGTAAGGCTGCTATCACACGTCGGTTTGTTTCGAAAGAACAACTGTTTGGAACAATTTTTCTGCTTTGTCACAACAGCCAATCACCACAGCTCGCTTTGGGGTTAACACAGGGGAAACTGGTTCTCCATTACGAACAAGCTAACAGCATTCGGCGCTGATTGCTGATTGGTTGAAAACGAAAAACTTGCAACTTTTTTCGAAAGAAAGGAAAAAGTCGCACGTCTTTCTTTCAAAAGTAAACCAGGCAGAAAAATTGTCCGAAACAGTTGTTCGTGTGAAACAAACGCCGTGTGATATGGGCCTAAGAATAGCTTACTCAGAAATTATGTAAAACCGCAGTGCTTTACTTCGCTAGTGCATTCTCATTAGAATTGATGAATTTAACACTTGCCTTCGGATGAGCGGTGTAATTGCGTTCTAATTGTCTTAATTACCGTGAATTGTCTTAGGGGATAAAATTTAAATATCGTGCAAAAATTCTATATTATTGTATGCCAGTAGTGAAAGAAACAATCTGATAAGAAATGGCTGCAACTTGTTTTGAAACTGAGGCGTAAAAGGTTACCAGCGAAGATATTCCGTCTGGTATCAGTTAAACCATTATTGACGACTTTATCGTTTGCGCCGGCAAAACGGAAAAGTACCTAGAAAACTATTTCTTTATAAAACGAAATTAGAAAATATTTCTTCCGCCCTTTTATTTTCTCTTTTTATGAAAATTATTTCATTAAGAAAAAGAAATAAAATTCATTCGTGCATTACAATATATGCTCAACTGCTGCTGCATTCAGCTATCACAGATGCATCAAAATACATAATTTATCCTACAATTAACATGATAGAAAATAAATTTTCAATATAAAATGTATAACCAAAATTATAATCATCTATTCTGTATATGTGATTAAATCGTATTGCAATTTTTGTCATACATATATCAATAATACTTTTTTTAATATTAATTCACTGTTTTTTAAATTTGTTATATATAAGAACTGCTTGTTGTAAATATTCTTCCTTCTAAAAAGATTTTATTCTGTGAAAGTAATTAAAAGATAGTAATATTATTTTTACAATGGAAGTACTAAAGCAATAATAATCAATGTAGGCCTCCTACAGCTGAAGAAGTTTCACACTATAAAATTGAGAACTTTGCTATACAGTTATTATTATTATTTTTTTTTTAAGTTTGCAAAGAAACAATTATTTTTTAATATTAATAGATTACAAAAGTACTATTTCATGAAGAAACCCTCCATAGCAGCGGTTCTCAACCTTTTGACTAACGTGTACTATCTACGTAAAGAAAAACTGAAAAACTTTAGTACCACATTTTACTAGGATCACTTTTCAATTTCTTAATAGAAATATTTAAAAAAAAATTGTCATTTGCACAACCTATTGGCTATTTGTATTAAATATGCACACATAAGAATATTAGATTAAAAATTGGTTACCATTTTAATTATTAAAATTTAAGTTATAATACTTTACTCCTAAACTTTAGTGTGGAATTCGGGCCTGATTAAGAGTTCACTTAGTTTTAACCATAAATTAGAATCCACTTCGAATTTTATTCTGTTATTCAATTAATTCTGTTCTCATTTCGAGGCAAAGCAAAAATAAATAAAATCTCAACACATCTTCGTTAAAAACTGTAAAAAAAAAAAAAAAAAAAAAAAAAAAAACCGAAATGTTTCAGATTTTAAATTACGTCCAAAGGGGCGTTTTTTAACATTTTGTGTGTTACCTTTCTTTATTAAATATCATGTTCCTCGCACTTAAACCATAAGATCCAGTGCAACAGCAATATCGCAAAATAGTTTTAAAACGAGCATATCTTTAGAATTTCCGATACAGAGACTCACGAGCTGGAGATAAAAATGTTTTTTTCTGCACAACGTTGCCATTGCTCGCTTTGAAATCCTTGAGTTTGTTAATCAAAAATTCGTCAAAGTTTTAAAAAATAGGTAATCGATCATAAAACAAATTTCAAATTTGGTCTTCCACATGCTCATATTCGTTGGAGGATTACGTTATTCAAAATTCGATGACTATGTACCGTTTTTTATCACAATACGAGAAATATACATACATTTATGCAGATTTTTCATTATTTAATTTCTTCAAATATAATGCAGGACTCTAACATTTTGTGGCAACAGTTTGAAAAGTGAACCGACATTTATGAGTCCGACGCAAAATGCCAAAACGAAACTTCGGGATTCAAATCCCTTTGGACTAAAAAAAACCACCAAATGTAGTTAAAGCAGTTAAAAAAAACAATTTTTACATTAAAATTAATAGTTTCTACGCAAAAACATGGAATTCGGCCAGCGGACAAGGAGGCAGATTTTTTGGTACACAAAATTGAAAGTTTACATTTGATCCCACTCGGAAAAAAATACTGAAGGTGCAGAAACTAATTTAATTCACTATTCTACTAACAGTTTTCAAATCTAAAGAAATGGTGGTTCGTTGAGCTTAATTCGTCAGTTAAACTTTTAAATTATTGGTATTTCTATAATTACTGCACGCAGATTAACTAAACGCATAAAATCCTTAACCACAACATAATTCAATCATGTTTAAAGCAAAAAAATGCACAATTTACCAATATATATGAATAAAAAACACTAAGCTCACTTGAGGCGGGTAACACTAAAATATTCCAGTGTTCTGAGGGTACTCGTTTTCGACATCACGGAAACATCTCTTCTGAATCCAATTTGGTAAAGACTCTTTTACTCTGTTCGTATGTACAGATGCCACACAAAAATATGGTTTAAATATATTCGAGACCATACAAAATGGATATTTTTGTTGAAACATGATACCTGAAATTTTTCGCTATTACAATACTTCCTTTCCTTTGTACAAGGAAGTAAAAAGAACCTATTGATCTTCCTGGTATTAGTTTTTTATGATATGGAGAATGAAATTTTAAAAAATTCTTTACACCTCACATATTTGAAATTATAGTTTTTCATAATGATACATTTAACTACAGATACTATTGTGGGATTTATTTCTTCATTTGTTGTATGACTGCTTGGTTCTGGGGAAAAGATGACAAATTTTTAGAACTTCA